ACCATACTGGCTGCTAAAAGTGAATTATTATTTCACTATTTCACTTTCATTAATGATTGAACAAAAAAATCATACTTTAGATTTTTTATATATCTCGTAGCTAGTGCCCCTTTAAATAAAGCTAATACTAACAATGAACACTGAAATCTATATCTTTATCGGGAAGATTAATACTAAAATTTACGATAAAAGTGATAACTTTTCATTTCCTATTGTTAATTATCCATTTTTAGATGATGACGTTCCCTTAGCATCTTCTTATGGTGTTTATATGTCTCAACTTATTCTATTATCTCGTGAATGTAACAACGTATTTGATTTTAACGAAAGAAATCTCCGAAAGGTTTTGCCAAATACAGCTAAGGTCATCTATTCCTCGGGTAGAAAATCCTTAGTATTTCGAACAAACAGTTTTGCAACAGTAACAAACCGGTACTTTGTCATTTTATTAGTTGTTTTTGTGCTGAGTACCGACCAGAAGAGGCAAACCTTTTTGAAATTGTTAGAAGGTGCTGTTAAGCCACTGTCCAAGGTTAGAGCACGGTTGAAAGCTTACAAACATGTTTAATTCTAATATATTTTATTTGCCTTTTTTCGTTTCACTCTTGTAGCTTTTAATCAGACTGTTACTTTTTTCTTTTGAATGTATTCCCATTTTATTATCATTTAGGCCATATATGGCCTTTATATCTCACTATATGGTGCGAAGTTTGTTCATTGTTGAAGGCCGTATGATGACCTGTTTTTCACATTCCCTGTAATGAGTCTGTTATCTGTTTCTACGTCACCTTTTTTATCACTTTTGTGCACATTTATTTCCTGCATTTTGAGTGACAAAATATTCATTTTCATCCTGTCTTGGTGAACATTATACAATTATGGCCCGTTGAAAAGGTGATTAACCAAAATTGTCAACACGAGAAGGTTATGTAACTGAGGGCGCAGCCCGAAGTGAAATAACTTTTAAGGGTTGACAATTTTGGATATTCATCGCTTCTAAGGGGCCACAATTGTTTTATTATACCGAACTAACAGTGGAAGGGCATTTTGAATCATGATTGTAAAAGCACTTACCCTTACTTGAGTCAGTAATAAACACAAGTTGACGTTCAAAAATACATGTAATTCTCGTATGTACAACAAAGGTAGATTCTTTTTGTAAAATATTGATGGCCCTGAAAAGGACCGTTATTAGAGATATCATCGGCACAAGATGCACGTCAAAAGCCTTATTTCCTCTTCTCTCGATCAATGGGCGTCCTGTAACTTGAACGTTGCCATTTTGTTTATTTACGTCTGTGAACGTTGCCATTTTCATGAGTACAAATCAACAAACTAAAAAGGTTATTCGCCGGTGAATAATAGGGTTATTCAACGCTGGTGTAAATTTTTAGGGTTATTCGTTCTTCCTTGCAATTGAATGAAAATTAACTGAATTATTCCATGTCACGTGATAACGTTTTACCCAATAGAATTGTTTGTAATATATGTAAGGTATAATAATATGTTTTACCCTGCCGGAATGAAATGTTCGTCCCCTAACTTGTTCCATTCGGAATACAAATAGACAAATCGTCCAATCACAGTAAAAATGAGTTGATCCTGTCCTGCTCTGAATGAGAATTAAACATGATACATTAAATGGATCACAAGAATTACCAAAATATATATTGCAATGAACAGTTCAACAGACCACACCCTATATCAAGACCAATGCTGCAGGAAACAAAGAATGAACAAAGAAAAACAACTACAAAAACAACACATGGTCCAAATTAGGCCCGTAGTTTACGAGGCCCGTAGTTTACGAGGTTATTTGGGGTCAGGATGCTCCGACTTACATAGTCAATATTCAATCTGAATCTCCCGTGATATAGTCTTAAATGTATTTTTTTAGCCCCCCTGGCTACGGGTGTGGAGATAGCCCGACTTAGTAATTGCACGAAATACGTGAAACTGAGCATCGTTTTCAGTTATACAACAAAACTTCAGGATACTTACGATTTCTTGCCGTCAGAGCTTGGAAAGATTTGTCTCGATTTTCATTTGCTGGCTTTTTTTCTTGTTTTGTTTTAGGGGGCAGGAATTTGTCAAAATGAAATGACTGCACAATAATGAAAGCATACAGATCTGTTTTATCAGTATAACGTTTACTTGTGGTACAAGAAAAAAACTAAGATCATAAAAATTCCGAGACGTCACTTAACTTTAGGATTTGGATAATTCATTTAGACATTAGAAATTCAGATAAAAAAAAAGAAATGTTTCCCTGAGAATAAATGACGTATCATAAGACAATTTGTCATGCTTTGTTGTCTATTTTTCATTCTGTTTTATTTTTTTTCTTTCCTTTTTTTTTTTTTTTTTTTGTCTTGTCTATTGTGTCCTTTTCTTTATTTCGATATGAACACGTCTGGGTAATTTCCTTCTTGACAAAAATGTCAAATTTATTACCATTTATAATTAGGATATTTTTTATCAAATGTTTATAACTATAACCAACTGTTGAAACTAATATTGATGTTATAGAAATATCTATAGTCTAAGGATTTACATTTAGGATCACTATCTAAATGCATCATCCAGAAGTCCATCAAAACACATAAATAACCCATTAAATATGATCTGTAAGTAGTAATTAATCAGTAACACCACCTGGCTGTTGTGTTGCTCATTTCATAAAGAAAATATCCACTCCTTAAGTATTTCAATCAAAAATATCAAGAATAAAAAATTCTAAAATGTCAGGCAAATAATTCGGTGAAACTGTTACATAAACTCATCATAAATAACAGGATTTAAAATTTGTACGACAGACGCGCGTTTCGTCTACAACAGACCCATCAGAGACGCTCGAATTAAAATAAAATCTAAAAGGCCAAATAAAGAACATAGTCGAAGAGCATTGAGGACCCACACATTTTGAAAGGTTTTGCCAAATACAGCTAAGGTAATTACCCTGAATGTTATCATTTAGGTCTGAAAAGAATAAGGTAATATATAAATTACCCTGAATGTTATCATTTAGGTCTGTAAAGAATAAGGTAATCTACAAATTACCCTGAATGTTATCATTTAGGTCTGTAAAGAATAAGGTAATCCACAAATTACCCTGAATGTTATCATTTAAGTTTCTACAAATTACCCTGAATGTTATCATTTAGGTCTGTAAAGAATAAGGTAATCCACAAATTACCCCGAATGTTATCATTTAAGTTTCTACAAATTACCCTGAATGTTATCATTTAGGTCTGTAAAGAATAAAGTAATATATAAATTACCCTGAATGTTATCATTTATGTCTGTAAAGAATAAGGTAATCTACAAATTACCCTGAATGTTATCATTTATGTCTGTAAAGAATAAGGTAATCTACAAACTACCCTGAATGTTATCATTTAGGTCTGTAAAGAATAAGGTAATCTACAAATTACCCTGAATGTTATCATTTAGGTCTGTAAAGAATAAGGTTCCCATTTTTTTTTTTTCTTCAGATTTTTGAATTTCATCCATATCCAATGATGATGAAGATTTTACACAAAGCCACTTCAATTTTTATATGTAGGTCTGTTTGATAGTAGTATGCCTTGTTTATTCTGAAGGTAAACCCTTAAAGTTTAACTGTACTATGGTTATGTTAGGTTTTATAATGTATGTGTAATCAGGAAAACGTTTTCAATGTTAACATAAATGTAAACATATAAATGTCACTCTGTTTGGATCATCATCTTAAAATGAATATTTATTATTTTTGTGTTTTACCAAACAAGATGAACCGCCTCAATGTTTACGTGAAAGGGTAATCACCCCGAGTGCAGGGTTCGATTCATGAACTGGTCAAACCTATAACATATTTTATGGATCTCCGAACCAGTTGGTATAGGCAAAATCAATAACGAATTTGGAAAGCATTGGAAACCATATATGCCTTGGATAGAAAACCATAGTGTTTCAAACTATTTTACCATTTTGAAAACATTGTCAAGTGAATCACAAGAAATGACCGTATCAATGATATTTCATGTCAGCAAAGGATGATACATTCGTTGACGAAACGTCTACCAGCAATGGAATTGACCCAGTGATTGTAAAAAAATCATCAACTATACCAATTTAGTAAGCCAGATGCGCGTTTAGTCTGCATAAGACTCGTCAATGTCGCTAGACTCGTATCATTTAGAGGGAAATACAATTCAATAACATAAACAAAGTTGAAAAGCATTAAAAACTAATATAACGAATAGTTGTACTAAATCGGGTAGTTGTTAAGTACGTCTATGTCTGTGGTAAATGATTATTAATCAGTGTTTCGAGCGATTTTGATTCTATGAACAGTATATTTACTGAAAGACTGTGTCAATGATATTGAATGTCAGTACAGAAGTTTTCTCCGGGACAAAACATCCACCAGGTGTGGCATCAATCCAGTAGTTGTAAAATATTCATCAAAGATGCCAGGCTTATAATTCAATACGCAATGCAGACATGCTTTTTGTCTACATTAGACAGAGTTTTACTGTGCGTATTGCTGTGTGTTTGTTTATTCTACATTGGCTAGAGGTATAGGGGAGGGTTGGGATCTCACAAAACATGTTTAACCCAGCCGCATTTTTGCGCCTGTCCCAAGTCAGGAGCCTCTGTCCTTTGTTACGTAGTCTTGTATATTTTTTAATTTTAGTTCATTTATAGGTTTTGGAGTTAAGTGTGACGTCCATTGTCATTGAACTAGTACACATTTTTGTTTAGAGGCCAGCTGAAGACCGCCTCCGGGTGCGGGATTTTCCCGCTGTGTTGAAGACCCATTGGTGGCCTTCGGCTGTTTTCTGCTCTTTGGTCTGATTGTTGTCTCTTTGACGCATTCCCCATTTCCATTCTCAATTTTATCATCAGTGGTGCTTGAATCGTCTACATTAGACTCGTCAGTGGTGCTCGAATCAAAACAGTTGTAAGGCCAAACCAATAGTTGAATTGAAGAGCATTGAAAACATGTTTTCATTATAATTTATTTTCAAACATAACTGAATCATTTAAAGCTTTCTCATTACAAATTTAAACAAAACTTAATAAATACATATGGCATATGTATCATAACAAAAGGTTACATGAAATGAGTTAAAATGTATGAGTTGTATAAAAGTGATAATGTTTACCATAATTAATATAGTAAATGATTATCAGAGCCCTATGGTATATGCTATATACAGGAGCTATGTTAACAATAATGTACAAAGATGTATGTATTGTAATTATTTATCCTTTGTTTCACTAACGAAAATTAAAAACAAAAGGAGACAGGCTTCTTTCTATACATGGATAAATATACAGCTATGCTTTTCTCAATTGAATGTTAGGCCGTGTTCACACTGAGGCTTAAACAAGTTTGAAACAAGTTTCATTGAAATTTTTAAAATTAATTATAGATAAATACAGCGTTAATTTTAATAACGCTTGCAGCTATTAACTAATTTTTGAATATAGAATTTAATGCATGTCAAACAATTGATTAGTTTTTATTTCAAAGATGTAATACGACTTGTGTACACAAAATATGTTTCACATGGGCAGTGTGAACGTGGCCTTACTTGAGGGAAATTGAGTTTAAATGTGAAACTTTTTAACACAAAACAACTCACTATATGTTAATGCGAACTTCGCGTTAATATGCTTAACTTGACATGAAATCTAGGTTAAACTTTTTTTTTCTTAAAAAGATCATTAAAGATAAATCCGATTTTTTAAGTTTTAAACAAATGCGTGTTTAAGCTCTAAATGTATGCTGATTATAAATCTTCTCCACCAGCTGTTAATAGTCAGACTGAGTACAAAATTACACAAACTTAAACATATATTTCCAATTGCATTGAACACTAAAGTAATAAACTACTGCTGTTCATACTTTAAATAACTGAGAAATTATGTATTGAAAGAAATAATAATAAAATAACACTACAGGGAGATAACTCTGTAAAAATCAGATGAACGTTTTAATCACGTTCTATTGTTAAGGAAATATTAAGCTTCTCAATGATCAATATTAGTGTTTGTCAAACTGCTTTATATCCAATGAAATTTTTCCGATAAAGTGTGTGGTTCAAGTTTTTTTGAAATTTTTATATTTTTGTCAAAGGGTTTAAGAAAATATTTTGTCAAAATTTTATGAAAATCAAACGAGCCAAATTAATTTTAGTCAATGTGTCACCTTAAGATCTGTGAAGAAGGTATCTTAGGAGAAAACGATGATAGAGTCGTACTACAACGCCAGGTATTTTAGTAAGTACAAACATATGGTGCTAGAGTTGTATCTACAGGCCAAGTTACTTGTTCTAACTAAAACATGTAGTGAAAGACAAGTATTTTTTTTCACTTCATGTTATTGGTTTAAACTATAATTCATGCTGATTTGATGGATTTTTTTCTAATCCTAAACATAAATGATATTACTTTTTTTCAGACATCAAACCAGGAAGTTGGTAGAATATCATTCAAATACTGAAAGTACTTCGGCCTGACGAAAGATACAAAGTAGTTTGGAAAATAAAGAAGTTTTGAATTTGAAGTTTAATAACTTATTAAACTTTCTTGGCATGTGGCACTTTGATTTGCATGAAATCGCATGATCACATCACTAATAGATGCATCATATATAAGTGAAAAAAAATGTATGTTGCATTTTCTTTAAAACCATTTTATCCAGCAAGAGTTTTGCATGTAAGCTAATGTAGCTATCAATAACAAGACTGTTACCTGGGGAAGTCAAACATTATGTTAGATCCCCCATTTTACACAGCAGTTCTATATATTACTAGATACTAGTAAGTATTCGTTCGCCATCAATAAAATATCAAGGAAAACGCAGAAGAGTTACAAGATATAAAGGAAAAACACAAAGGAGCTACGAAATATCAAGGTACCAATGAAATTGTGAGCAGCGAACTTTCTTATATCAAGGAACCAATGAAATTGTGAGTAGCCTACTTCCTTATATCAAAGACACATGAAATTGTGAGTAGCGTACTTCCTTTATCAAGGAACCAATGAAAATATGAGTAGCGAACTTTCTTATATCAAGAATCCAATGATATTGTGAGTAGCAAACTTCCTTATACCAAGGAACCAATGAGATTGTGAATAGCGAACTTCCTTATATCAAGGTACCGATGAAATTGTGAGTAACGAACTTTCTTATACCAAGGAACCAATGCAATGGTGAGTAGCAAACTTCCTTATATCAAGGAATCAATATAATTGTGAGTAGCGAACTTCCTTAATACCATTTTGCTAAGAAACGAAAAAGGGTAACCTCGACTTTTGATTATAACCCAGAGATAAATAGGATTTACGACAATTGGAACAACCTTCTATGTGCATGATAAACAAGCTCCCATCTTGGTTTTTCTCGAAATATCGAAAATCTCAGTAGTTTAAGAGAGCTTCCCCCCCCCCCTTAACATTAAACCCTTTTCCATCTTATCACAAAACTGTTTGCACTCTTAGTGATAAATTGTATTTGTCTAAAATCGAGTGTTTAATACAAGGTCAAGCACTCTTATGCCGACTGCTTCCTGTAAGAAGAAGTAAATGTTTGAAGTACAGTATTTGTAATAACCACCAACTAGGCGTAACAAATCATAAAATAGAATTACGAATTAATGCCCAATGAAATTCAAACAATTTCGACTAATGTTGTACTGCCGTTTTCAATTATAATAGAATCCTCCCTGATTTCTTTCATTGGCAATACATTTTGTTTTTGCACATGCCCGTTTTGATGAACAGTTCCATTATGAAAAGTTGTGCTCTCTTTATCACTGTTTTTTGACGACACTGTAAATATTTTAGGATGTTTAGTTGCTGATTTAGGAATTGGCATAGGATGATCATTGTCATCCATTTTATTTCCATTAAGTCTTCTCTCAATCTTTGGTATAATATTTGAACTTGTTCCCTGTCCTACAGAACTAGTTCCATCCTTCTTCGGCAACATCACCTTTATTGCCTTAAAAAGTGAACCACCTTTTGATTTGTCAATGAATTTCTTCCATTTATCCTTGTTAAACTTCCGCTTCCGTTCTCGTAGTTTCTGTCTTGATTGCGCATGAGTATAGTAAAGAGTAAAATTGTTAACTATGGCAGGTACCGACAAGGCAATCGTAAGCACTCCACTGATTGCACACATTGAACCCACTATGTACCCTAGGGCTGTTTTAGGTACAATATCACCGTATCCTATTGTTGTCATGGTAATGAGGGCCCACCAGAAAGCAAGAGGAATATGGTCGAAATCAGAAGCACCATCTGAAAATATTTCCATATAATATTCCATGCTGGCAAACACAAGCACTCCTATAATAACTACTAAAAGTAGCAAAAATAGCTCTTTCGTGCTAGCTGCAATGGTATACATAAGTATTTTAAGTGCTAGAAAATGCTTCATTATAATAAATATGCGGAAGATTCTCAGAACTCGTAATGCTACAAGTACCCGTATGAGTTCGAAGACTTTTATTGGATCTGGATGAGCAAACACAATAATTATCGCTATATAGTATGGTATTAAACATGTCAGTTCTACAATAGACATTGGCGACCGGAAGTAACGCCATTTTGAAGGCGCTGCTATAAGTTTGATTAGGAATTCTGTAAAGAAGAATAAGTTGCACAAATTATCAATGATTAACAGAACGTCATATGGGCTAACGTCATCGAATATGTCGAATTCCTTTCGTAGATCATCACTTGTAACATTGCTGTTCTTGGCATGCACCGTTATGGCTCCAAAGAATGGCAATGTCTCCAGAACAAACACGGTGATGGATACAAGGACGACAAGCAACGAAATAACGGCGTAGACCTGAAAAATAAACAAAAACAATGTGAACAATAACAAAAATATTATAATGATAACTTTTACAAGAAATAATTGTCCAGATCTTCTTACCAATGTAAGCTTCAACGAGAACAAAATGAGAGGCGAAAGATACCAAAGGGACATTCAAACTCATAAGTCGAAAATAAACTGACAACGCCATGGGGACACTCATAGGGACCTGTAGTTATTTTTAACCTCGGCCTTTGGTTTATGGTGAATGCTTGTCTCATTGGCAATCATACAACATATCCTTTTTTTTCATGTTGGCATAACAACATAAACAGTCATTTCTTTCTCTTTCTTTGTGGGTTTTTTGATTTACCACTTGTTTGTGCATTACCCATGTTTATCTTAGATTTCTTTCTTTAACGTATTCCGTCATATCCTTACGATTTTCTTTTTCTTTTCCTTTTTTTTTATTGTTGGTGGTAAAAAATGATTCTTACTTGACAAGATATTCCAAACTGAGATACTAGTAGTACACATGTACTTATTCATAGCAGTCCTTAAGACAGTAATTCAAATGATTCTTTAAACTAAGAACAGATGCACAGGTTTATCAAGCACCAAGATCGTTCCGAAACTACTTTATCAAGTACATTCGATATATCAAAACTAACCTAACAGAAAGGAGTGAAGTCATAATCAGGTCATTGAAATAAAGCGTGGTTAACAGATTGACACCACATCGGTTGATATATATAACTAATAACAGACAACAGGAATGGAGTCATTGAACTGAAAAAATGAACATTTAAACGCTGTTAGTGTCTTTAATTAATTGATAGTATTGGAATACTTTATAAAGAAATTGTATTGGATTATTACACACATTCAATTTTATCCATGTGTAATTAATGAAATCTCTGTCATGGCCATCATGATAGAAGACGCCATTTAATTTTTTCTACTCCTTTTTTCTGTTAATATGAAAAGAATTAATAACATATGTAAAATCTCACAAATTACCAATTCCAAAAGGACACCCACGCTAATTCATGGAGGAATGTTATTCATACCCTTTCTGACTCACGATTTCGTAGAATTCTATTTAAGTAGTAGTAATAAGGGAAGAATCAATGGGGACTTTGTCGATAAAGCTAAGGGTCATCCTAAAATCACTGAGAGAACTATGTCAATAATACCAAAGGGCTTTCCTAAAATATATTTGGGGGAGGACTATTTCAATAAAGCCTAAAAATTATGATCATAAAGTCCAAATAGGGCTATATCAATAAAGATTAAGGGTTATGACCATAAAGTCCAAATAAGGCTATATCAACAAATCTTAAGGGATAAGATCATTAAGGCTATCCTTAAAACACTATGGGCTATGTCAATAAAGCATTAAGGGATATGATCCTAAAGGCTATCCTTAAAACATTAGGGCTATGTCAATAACGCTTACGGGATATGATCATAAAGGCTATCCTTAACACACTAGGGGCTATGTCAATAAAGCTTACGGGATATGATCCTTAAGGCTATCCTCAAAACACTAGGGGCTATGTCAATAAAGCTTAAGGGATATGATCCTTAAGGCTATCCTTAAAACACTAGGGCTATGTGTTAATAAAGCTTAAGGGATATGATCCTTATGACTATCCTTAAAACACTAGGGGCTATGTCAATAAAGCTTTCGGTATATGATCCTTAAGGTAATCATTAAAACACTAGGGCTATTTCAATAAAGCTTAAGGGATATGATCCTTAAGGCTATCCTTAAAACACTATGGGTTATGTGTTAATAAAGCTTAAGGGATATGATCGTTAAGGTTATCCTTAAAACACTAGGGGCTATGTCAATAAAGCTGAAAGGGATATGATCCTTAAGGCAATCCTTAAAACACTAGGGCTACGTGTTAATAAAGCTTAAGGGATATGATCCTTAAACACTAGGGGCTATGTCAATAAAGCTTTCGGTATATGATCCTTAAGGTAATCATTAAAACACTAGGGCTATTTCAATAAAGCTGAAGGGATATGATCCTTAAGGCAATCCTTAAAACACTATGGGCTATGTGTTAATAAAGCTTAAGGGATATGATCTTTAAGGTTTATCTTTAAAACACTAGGGGATATGTCAATGAAGCTGAAAGGGATATGACCCTTAAGGCAATCCTTAAAACACTAGGGGCTATGTGTTAATAAAGCTTAAGGGATATGATCCTAAAGGCTATCCTTAAAACACTAGGGGCTATGTCAATAAAGCTTAAGGGATATGATCCTTAAGGCAATCCATAAAACACTAGGGACTATGTCAATAAAGCTTAAGGGATATGATCCTTAAGGCAATCCTTAAAATACTAGGGCTATGTCAATAAAGCTTACGGGATATGATCCTAAAGGCAATCCTTAAAACATTAGGGGCTATGTCAATAAAGTTTAAGGGATATGATCCTTAAGGCAATCCTTAAAACACTATGGGCTATGTGTTAATAAAGCTTAAGGGATATGATATTAAGGCTATCCTTAAAACTCTAGTGGCTATGTCAATAAAGCTTACGGGATATGATCATTAAGGCAATTCTTAAAACACTATGGGCTCTGTCATTAAAGCTTACGGGATATGATCGTTAAGGCAATCCTTAAAACACTAGGGTCTATGTCAATAAAGCTTACGGGATATGATCCTTAAGGCAATCCTTAAAACACTTGGGTCTATGTCAATAAAGCTTAAGGTATATGATCCTTAAGGCTATCCTTAAAACACATGGGGCTATGTCAATAAAGCTTAAGGTGTATGATCCTTAAGGCTATCCTAAAAACACATGGGGCTATGTCAATAAAGCTTACGGGATATGATCCTTAAGACTATCCTTAAAACACTAGGGCTATGTCAATAAAGCTTACGGGATATGATCCTTAAAACACTCTGGGTTATGTCAATAAAGCTTACGGGATATGATTCTTAAAACACTCTGGGCTATGTCAATAAAGCTTAAGGGGTATGATCTTTAAGGCTATCCTTAAAACACTAGGGGCTATTTGTCAATAAAGCTTAAGGGATATGACCCTTAAGACTAACCTTAAAACACTAGGGTCTATGTCAATAAAGCTTAAGGTATATGATCCTTAAGGCTATCCTTAAAACACATGGGGCTAAGTCAATAAAGCTTAAGGTGTATGATCCTTAAGGCTATCCTTAAAACACATGGGGCTATGTCAATAAAGCTTACGGGATATGATCCTTAAGACTATCCTTAAAACACTAGGGCTATGTCAATAAAGCTTACGGGATATGATCCTTAAAACACTCTGGGTTATGTCAATAAAGCTTACGGGATATGATTCTTAAAACACTCTGGGCTATGTCAATAACGCTTAAGGGGTATGATCATTAAGGCTATCCTTAAAACATTAGGGGCTATTTGTCAATGAAGCTTAAGGGATATGACCCTTAAGACTAACCTTAAAACACTAGGGGCTATGTCAATAAAGCTTAAGGGATATGATCCTTAAGGCTATCCTTAAAAACGCTAGGGGCTATCTCAATAAAGCTTAAGGGATATGACCCTTAAGGCTATCTTAAAATAACTAGGGGCTATGTGTTAATAAAGCTTACGGGATATGATCCTTACGGCTATCCTTAAAACTCTAGGGGCTATGTGTTGATAAAGCTTACGGGATATGATCCTTAAGGCTATCCTTAAAACACTAGGGTCTATGTCAATAAAGCTTAAGGTATATGATCCTTAAGGCTATCCTTAAAACACATGGGGCTAAGTCAATAAAGCTTAAGGTGTATGATCCTTAAGGCTATCCTTAAAACACATGGGGCTATGTCAATAAAGCTTACGGGATATGATCCTTAAGACTATCCTTAAAACACTAGGGCTATGTCAATAAAGCTTACGGGATATGATCCTTAAAACACTCTGGGTTATGTCAATAAAGCTTACGGGATATGATTCTTAAAACACTCTGGGCTATGTCAATAACGCTTAAGGGGTATGATCATTAAGGCTATCCTTAAAACATTAGGGGCTATTTGTCAATGAAGCTTAAGGGATATGACCCTTAAGACTAACCTTAAAACACTAGGGGCTATGTCAATAAAGCTTAAGGGATATGATCCTTAAGGCTATCCTTAAAAACGCTAGGGGCTATCTCAATAAAGCTTAAGGGATATGACCCTTAAGGCTATCTTAAAATAACTAGGGGCTATGTGTTAATAAAGCTTACGGGATATGATCCTTACGGCTATCCTTAAAACACTAGGGGCTATGTGTTGATAAAGCTTACGGGATATGATCCTTAAGGCTAACCTTAAAACACTAGGGGCTATGTGTTAATAAAGACTAATTACTATCCTTAAAACCACACAGAAAGATACGCCTTGTCTGGTGGTGTTTGTGTTGCTTAGTCTGTAGTTTTCTATGTACTGTTTGTCTTTTCGTCTTTATCGTTTTTTGTCATGTGATTGTCAAGTTGTTTTCGATTGATGAGTTTGAATAATTATCCCTTTCGCCTGTCTTTTTTTTATTTTAGATACTGCATTTGTTACGTTCGTAATGTATGGTAGATAAACATACGATATAGTATATAATATTGCAAAAGAAAAAATATGCTTGGAAATAATATCTTTAAATTTTATTTGTTTGTAAATTTTACGGACGCCCTCACGAGTTGATTGGCCGTTATGGAATAGCCGTTTCACAGATGACAACAGTTTATTCCAATTGTCGTAATTACAATCCCGTCCCCTTTTCTCCGAATGTGAACTACCGAATTAGACTAATTATCGGGTTTGTATTTACATGAGCAACACGTTGGGTACCACATGTGGAGCAGGATCTGCTTACCCTTTCGGAGCACCTGAGATCACCCCCAGTTTTTGGTTGGGTTCGTGTTGCTCATTCTTTAGTTTTCTATGTTGTGCTTTTTTGTGTACTATAATTGTTTGTCTGTTTGTCTTTTTCTCTTTTAGCCATGGCGTTGTCAGTTTATTTTTGACTTGTGAGTTTGAATGTCCCTTTGGT